GAAAAAAGAAAGGAAAGAACAAACCCCCCGGGGGGGGGGGGGAGAGACTGGTCCAGCACAATCCCTCCTCCATTCTCCTTCAAAGGTTTTAGGGGTGCATGCACATGCACCCATCGTGTTTTTCTAGCCACCAGGTCTGGGCCATGAACCCCACAGTTGACCATGTGGGATCCAGTTACCTTTACCGTCATGCCACTTGCTGACCCTATTTATTTGTCTTAATTCATGATAGTGTGTGTTCACGTGCATGAGAGGGACACACACACACACACACAGATGAGCTCCCTCTGAAAGGTCTGGTCATCTGTCTTTCTTTTTTTTTTTTTTTTCCAGTCCCCCTTCCAGTCCAATCTTGGGTCTTGGGCATTTTCATGAGTGCCCAGCATGTTACAGGTTGACCAGACTGGGGACTTGAACCATGGTTGTCATGTGGGATCTGGTTCCTCTGAAGCCGTAACTGGTGCTCTGCAATGCTGGCCTGGACCTATTTTGAATTTTAACCTTTGTTTGGGCTTATATTTTGTTTTGTTTTTAGTTTGTTATAGGGCATTGACCAGACTGGGGACTTGAACCATGGTTGTCATGTGGGATCTGGTTCCTCTGAAGCCGTAACTGGTGCTCTGCAATGCTGGCCTGGACCTATTTTGAATTTTAACCTTTGTTTGGGCTTATATTTTGTTTTGTTTTTAGTTTGTTATAGGGCACGTGTGCTCACTGGAGACAGGGAGACAGAGAGGTGGAAAGAGAAAGCACCCCCTGGTGGTGGTGATGAGGGGGATGGTCACTCCACAATCCTTCCCTTCTCCTCTGAAGATTTCAAGTTCTCACGTATTTGCCTGGCCACCAGGTCTAGGAGTTGATCCCTGCACTTGGCCACATGGGACCCGGCCGTCTTACCACCACCCCATCGGCTAGCCTGATTTTTAAACCATTTTGAAGTAAACATCTAAGTTGAGTCTGCCTCTGATAATGAGGCCTTCTCCACCATCCCAGTGCTAGTAAGGGCAGGAGTCGGCTAATGAAAATCCTCATACAATGAGGGTCGTGTGAGCCTCCCCCGGGTTATCCAGAGGACACGGTAACACGGGTGAGCTGGATCTTTGCCACCTGAGCCTGAGTCATGTGCCTTTCCTCTGCTCTGATGTTTCTGTTCACCATCAGAGATCTAGACCGCCAGAGACAGGAAGGGTGAGCCACAGAGATCTACACTGCCAGAGACAGGAAGGGTGAGTCACAGAGATA